TTAAAAAAACAGAAAAACGAAAAGACATGAATGGTTTTTTTTTATATGTGAAAATAAGAAAGTAATTATGAGATTAGATTATAACTGAAAATCCAAAGTTAGAATCAATTACAAAATTTATAAAGATTCCGAGCAAAAAGAATAGCTTATCACATCTTTGTTGGGCACATATCCAAAATAAAACATGGAAAATAGAAAAGAAAAAGTGTTTTTTTAAACTGGACCAGAGTCAAATCAGGTTCCGCCATGAACCGGAGATGTAGCCGGGTTGGATTGACAATAAAATCTAAAAAAACAAAATAACCATTCAAAAGTCTGGATTAAACCGATAAAAAATCGAAAACCAATAAACCGTAAAGAATCATATTTATCTGTTAAATTTGATTTTTTAATTTGGTAGTTAATTTTTTCTTTTATATTTTTCTTACCAATTATGTTTTTTAAACTAACGTTAGAATAAGTATATGATTTGTGATTTTCCGATTCACCAGTCCAATTTTAAAAATATTGAAAAGAGATGCTGTTGTGATTACTTTTGTGGACTTCGTCATTGGTATCGCTGGAAAAAAACAATGATAACTAAAATAATTGTGTTGGTGTATTCTTCACATAGTTGGCTTGCAAGCGACATATAATTCTCCACATACGATCGTTGTCGCAACGATTTTGAAAAGAACACGGTATAGACACATTAGTCCAAGTCCACGTTCGGTTTTGAATGAGTAGCTCCTATATATATACCTTTTTACACATACCAAAGTGTAGTATTATTGTATTAAGGCTTTGATTCTAAAGTTAACTTTTTCTTTTTCTTTTTATATACAAGAGGGTTTCAACCTCGTGTAAACACACTAGGATATAGTTGTATTAGTGTTTTTGGAGACAAATTCATGGTTTCAATAAAAAAATTCACTATTGTCTAAATGTGATCCAAACGTTTTTTTTTTTTTTGTGGTGACAACCAAACCAACGATTTGGAAAAATACAATGGCGATCTCGAGTTTTTCGGTCTCTTCTTTACTTAGACTTGGAGTTTTACATATTGCAATTGAAAATTTACACGGTTAACTGTATTGAATTACAGTTTAAATTACAAAAAAAAAAAAGATTTGAGTCTAACACAAGCCAAATTAACTAACTCAGAATTTAATGGTCTTCTATAATGAGATTTTCTTGAGTCAAGCTCATGTACGAAACCTAACACCAACAAAAGATTCTGATTATGGGTGTTTCACTTTTCACAGTCCAAATTAAGTTATCACTCTGTAACAGAGTCTCTGTTTTATTACAATTTTGTTACCATTTTTGGTTTCTTTTTGTTATTATAATAAAAGAATAATGCTAGGGAATTGAACGACTATTACCAAAGGGTGCAAAAGTCTTAAGGTGCACCGTACTACACTCTATAAAGATCTTTGACAAAAGAGGATAAATATTCTTTTTTTTTTTTTTAATACTTTTAACGAAATATAAATAATCTCGCATCGAACCTATCGTAGCCCCCAAAATCGTCTTCTCAATCGAAGAAATTAGGGTTAGGGTTTTCATTTCTTCCCCTTTTTCGATTTCTCTTAATCTCGTAGCCGCCCATCGACGATGACCGGCAAGGCGAAGCCAAAGAAGCACACGGCGAAGGAGCTCCAAGCAAAGGCCGATGCTGCGTTGACCAATAGAGGCGGAGGTAAAGCTGGTCTCGCCGACAGAACCGGTAAGGAAAAAGGTGGTCACGCCAAGTACGAGTGTCCTCACTGCAAAATCACTGCACCGGATCTCAAAACTATGCAGATCCATCACGAATCGAAGCATCCAAAGATGCCTTACGAAGAGCCTAGGAATCTCCACGAGGCTTTAGCTGCTCCTGCTGAATCCTCCAAACCCAAACCTGGAATCAGAGGAAGCCTCAAGAAATAAAGTGCTTTTGGGAGTTTGTATCGAAATTCCTTTTGAAATTTGTCATCTTTATTATGTGGGTTTCAAGTTGTTTGATGTGAGAATATGAAAGTGCGATGATGCTTATGTCTCTCTTACTTTAATTATTATGATCATATAAAGTAACTGATTTTCTTCTTATTAATCTTCTGTTTCTTCTAAGTTATGGCTTTGTTCATTAGCTGCAAATTCTCTAATCTGGTGGTTTTGGCTCTCTTTGATTTCAATCTGTGTGTTTACATGGTTGCTCAGAATCTTTACAAGTTGCTCTTAAACCTCAGCTTCTCTGTTTCTGATCAGACACATGTTAGGCAAAGGCAATATTTTTGATGAAATCTATGTGGATTTGAGGAAAGGTAACTCGTGTTAAACCTAACAAGAGATTAG